ACGTCTGACCTTATTTATAACTCCACCTACCAAGCAGGTGGTGACGATTACGCCTTGAACGAAAGGGAGGAGCTTCTGTTTGCTCAGTGAGCAGAACGTTGCTTTTTAAGCATAATCAGCGAGCAAAACAGGCTTAAAGCAGCATGTACACTGGACGTAGCCATCCCCTATCGCGCTGCCAACCATCCTAGGCTTTTGCCTTATCAGCTAGAAAGGCCGCGGTGCAGGTGTTCTGCTCATAAAGACGTACTCTAAACATTGAGTTCGATGTCCATTCTTGGATTAATGAGCTCGGAATTACTTTAGTTCAGACGCGCAGAGTGAAGGGTGGCAGGCCAGCAAACAGGTAATGAGGATGGTTCGCGAGGCTTGGTGAAGCGGGTGACGACGTCCCCGCAATTTCCATCTCGGAGCAAGAATCCTTAGCACGACGCTCGTTGACGACCGAGCCAAACACAAAAGAAATGGCGGCGTGACACTGGGCCAGAAGTAGCCTTGAGGGCCGTGCATCAGCGCAGGAGCGGCTGTTTCCACCGTACACGCTCGGCTCCCATTCTTCTCCTCTGGACAGGCTGGGCACAAATCAGAGCGGACACGGGAGACTCGCATTAGTATGGGCTTCTCGGCACGGCGGCCGGCGAAGATATGGGGGTGGCTGCGCCAGCGAGCGCTTTTTCCATCTCGTTCGACGATGCTGCTGAACGGGAATCGATCCACGACGCGAAGGAAGGAAGGTATATACGATGGAACCCCGGCGCGCCATCGTCGTTGTCGTCTTCGTCGTCGTTTCACCGCCACGCTGTGGCAGCGCCCAGACGGTCAGGACATGACCCGCATTGTAAGGAGCCTCGACCGAGTGCCGCGCGGGCCAAGCGCCTCAAATTGCGGGGCTTTGCGCGGGCGAACGAGTGGGGACGGAATAGGGGTGGCCCGACGCTTTTGTGCTTTATACCCATATGAGCTACCTCGCGCGCGTGATGGGCACCGCAGATTGCCTACGGAATGCCACCGCGCTTTCCTGCAGCGCTTGCTTGCTGGCTCCTGGAGGGTGCATGGTGAGCCCTTTTATTTCTGCCAAGACTCGCTGTATTCCTCGGCCTCGTGTCCAACCCGCCCTTATTCTCGGAAACGTATCGAGAAAGGCACTTGCGAACTAGAGTACAAGGCACGGTGACCGAAGTAACAAGCTTGATCTGTCCAGAAGATGGGGGCAGTACAAAAGAAACAAAAAAAAAGCACCCTGCGAGCAAGGCGACGTCGTGTTTGTGTGGTGCGGGAGACCCTTATCAAACATCCTCGACAGAGATAACGCCGGTAAAGGCGGCGAAGCTTTTCGATCGCCCCGCCACCACTCTCATGCCTTCGAGAGAAGGTGGTTCTCAGATGAGAGTGGTTCTCATGCCTGTAGCAGCACTTTAGGATCAACTTTTCGAGAGCTGGCACAGAATTACAAGATCATAGCAACGGAGAGAAGCAGGAGGCAGTGGTAGACGACAGTGACGCTTCCTAGATCGCCGATACTCGCGAAAGCTGGTTGTCGACTGCCGCTGATGGCCGCTGTGTTCGGGTTTTCCAATGGCATGCGTGAAGTACACCCAGCGAGAAAAAGAAATAAAGTGACCTCCGGCTTACAAGCGCTGGTCTTTGAAAGGAGATAGTCTGCGGGGCCAACGTTAGATGAAACGGCCGTTTCATCTGTTCCCGAAGCTGTCTTCTAAGCCATCGTGCCCACTGGCACCCCCTATCGCTCCCTCACTTGCATCTTTGCCGAGAGTTGTATGGCTCCTCTGTCTTCTTGTGTCTATCGACTTCTTTATTTCGTTCCATTTCTGACAGGGTCTCTCTCGATCGAGAGCGAATCGCAAGAATCCAGCGCGATGCCGCGCCGTGGGGGGGTGGCACTTGGCAGGCCCGGCGCGTCGGTACGGTGCGGAAATAAAGGCCTCGAAGGACAGGAAATTTGTTCGAACCACATCAGCAGTCCATTCTCGTTGCTGGCATGAACGACGTCGATGGAGGCAACAGTGGCGGCATCGAAAAGAGACGACGACGACGTCTACTCTACAAAGGACAAGAGAAAAAAAAACGATCAGGGGAAGCTTACAAGACCTCCCCTCTTTTCGAAAGAGGCATTTAAACGGCGGTCCGATAGGAAATGGCTGTCTCGTCTTTATCGAGATGCTCGCTCACGCGCACAGGCTCTCTCTCACACACATACTCGGTCGCCTTGTTTAGGGCGCTCGCTGAATGTCCTCTTTTCGTGGTACCGCCAGCCAACATCCGCTCAACTTAGATACCATCACCTGTCGTCCATTCGTGAGGCGAGGGGTCGCTTCTTTCACTCACCCCTTTTTGCTTTGCCGCTTCCGCAGCATCCACAAGGTCCGCGTTACATCCACCGCGTTACCGGCCGGGCTCCTTTCATTTCTCGGTCGGATCATGTATTCGCCGAGCACCAACGCTGAGAGCCAAGAGAAAGATAAAAGGATAACGGATGCAAGAGTCGCGTATACGATGCGGGGTCTGAATACCGAACATCTTCATAGCTTAACACTTCTCACTGCTTCTCTCCCTTTTTCTTGTTATACGCCTCCGAATGGTCAAATAAGATTTTTGAGACGCTCAAAGAAACAAAAAAGCACAAGGCACCTTACTCTTCACATTATATGGACTTGACAAGATCAGGAAACGTCGCATTCAAATGGTGGGAAGCATTGTACAGGGAGAGAACCTAAAGGCAGGCACTTTGTACTCCTTGCGCGTGGCTGCGAGTGTCCACTTGGAATTATCGCTCCACCATACTGAGTTGCTGGCTGCATCCAATTGAACAGCAACAGCGTGCCTCTTTACATTCCTTTGATGCACTGAATACTAAATGATAATGTCTGCGTAGCGATTGTTCAAGACGCAGAAAGGCGCGTTTGGGAGTCTTTGATACGCACATATACCTTGCACTGTACATAAATAAAAGGCTAAAAAAAACGCCAGGCTTGCGTGGAATACGCAGCACAGTGACAGGGAAAGCTGGAAGAGCTGCCTTTCAAAGACTTTTCTCAACACTATTTGGGTAAATACTGCGAGTACATTTGCTGGGTACCCACTTCGTCAAAAATAGTCATAATTTCAGGGTAGTAGGCCGCCATCACTATGTTATCCTGCGTCATTCTTCTAAAAAGTGGGGTATTCGTTAGACACTTGCAAGGAATTTTGTGCCAATTGCCGTGCAGTGGCTGATGACGATAAGGATGCCTGAAGTGGATACGCGCCACTGTTAATAGGTGATAGTACAGGGTCTAGAAATATATTTCTAGACACCGTAGTGATAAAGGACAATCTCTTATAATGGGTTGGATCATTGCACGACCCACTCGTTACGCTATTTGCATTGTGTAACGTCTTGTTTCTTTGCGGTTCTAAACGCTTGATTACACATATTAACGTGATTCCTTTCCCGACATCAAGCCCGGTCTAAGGCAAGTTCGCGAACGAGTCGCAAGCACCGGCGTGGCTCAGTTGTAGAATACAGGACTGGCACGCAGTGGACCCGGGTGAGAACCCCACCGTGTCCTTGGTGCTTTTATTTACTGAGCTTTTTTTCTTCTTATTTTTTGCGATAGTGGTTACGGACAGCGGCGGCGGCGGACAACTACGGCGCTGTGCGTAACTCGTGTTGTGATCTGATAACAGCTTTCGCTGTAAAAATGTATGGCAGGAAACGGCACATAGTTCAACAATTCACACACCAATAATTTGTGGCACAAAAGCACGACTGCAGCATTAACATGGTAAAAAAAAAAAACAAGAGATCAGTTTATGAGGTCTGCTGTATTGCTCAAGTAAGTGACATTTCGAAAAAATAAACTCCTATGGCGGATTAACACACTTGAAAGGTAAATTTGACTGTTAAGTCACTAAGAGCTTGAACTACTGGCGTACTTAAACTTCAGGCAATAAGTTACACAACATGGGACATAAATTGGTTTGAAATCATATACTCGGCGCGGTCAGCGTTCTTCTTCGCTACTTGTGTTACAAGGCTGTACAGTAAACTATATCGTTCATGCTGTAGGAAAGATCTATGACCTCACTATCGCCATTTGTAGTGATCTTGCTTCATCGCAACATCTTGTGATGGACAGGCAACACGCAGCAGCATTCCGAAGCCATAATGATTAATTTGTTGTATATTACTTTCTTTTGCGAATATTGGTGCTTACCACTACCTTCAGTCTGCTTTACCTACTGTGCCAACGTGTCTGATCTACATGGAAACTTCTTGATGCACATATGGTGTCGATACCAATATTGAAGCCTCTAAGCTATGGCATTAGAGCATGGAGTGTGGCCCTTGTGTTGTGTTAGGCGTGCATGCCCGATGTATGTGCACCCCAATCTGCCAGACCCCCTGAGTTTTGTAAAGCGCTGAGAGGCAATTTTCAAACAGAGCTGGCAAGTTTATGTGTGTCACTGCTCCTTGTAATGCAACGAAAATCACAACTTTTTCGCCGATATGCCAGCACATATGTTTTTTACCGTTGCGAATTACGGTAATTCTGAAGTAAGCTTCTCCCTACAAAGAACCTTGCTGAGGTGAAGCACAATTTAAAGGCAGTTTTACGTTAGTGCAGACACGTTGAATATATTGATGGTTGATGTGAACTATAATGTGCATCTGGATGCATTTCAAGAACACAAACATTTACAGTAGTTCGGTTTGCGCATCCGTTAAGACCATAGCACTCACAATGCGAGATGAAAGGAACAAAACAGCACGTCACGTCGTCTTTATTTGCCCCTGCAGCTTGAACGATGTGGCTTATAGGACGAATGCATCTCACCAAAGCTGGGCGAACTTCAATTCTGATATTCGGGCCAGTCTCTCTACCTTTTGCGCCACCCGCAACACAACGTGGTCTTTATGGACGAGCATTTTACACGTCGATAAAGAGAACATATACGGTGAATGTTACACAACGTGTTTGCCCTTGTTGCCATCGCAGATTCTATGGACATGAAGTCTGGACCCGGGCGGCGCGTAGTCCAGGCGGGTACACTGAGCATGACACAAGGCGGCAACGGGCTCGGCGCTCTGGGCATGGCCGGCCTTCTACCGGGTCCCGAGTGTGCGGGCTGCCAGAAGCCCATTCGCGAACGGTTCCTGCTCAAGGCGCTGGACCAGCTGTGGCACGAGGACTGCCTCAAGTGTGCCTGCTGTGACTGCCGCCTCGGAGAGGTCGGCTCCACCCTCTTCACCAAGGCCAACCTCATACTCTGCAAGAGGGACTACCTCAGGTGAGAATGGGGTGCGCGTGTTGTCGGGGCTGTACGATCAATAATTTCAATTATCCGCACCTAAGGGCATGTCCTCGTCATTTCGTCTAGGAGCAAGCTCAAAGCATAGATGCTCCTCTAACATTGTATAAATGAGCGTTAGAGAATATTTAATTCTTAAATGGTGAGAGAACCATGAACTACAGCGCTCAGTGAGACCCGTCTTGATATAGAAACTTCAGCACAATCAATACTGCTTCAATGCTTAAATGCAGCTTGGATTACGACCAGTCGCGAAAAAATAAATAGTAAAAAAACAAGCAAACTTATAAGAACCTATGCCATCTAAACGTGATAGGGTATTACAGGGCTTAGCAACCAAAGAGTTCGGAAACAGCAAAGAAAATGACTAAACGTTTCGAGGGTATACAAGAAGTTTGTACTTAATCCATGTGATTCGGGTAGAGTCAGCTTTTTGGTGTATATTACATCATGTTTCCGTACACAGTGTCGTTTAAACAGCGTGTCTTTCTCTCTCTTTCTACAGGCTTTTCGGCACTACTGGTCTCTGCTCTGCGTGCAAAAAAACCATACCGGCCTTCGAAATGGTCATGAGGGCACGTACCAACGTCTACCATCTGGAGTGCTTCGCCTGCCAGCACTGCAATCACAGGTGCGTATTTCACGGCAGTAGACTAGAACTAAGCCGGCTGCATGAATAAATAAATGTTTTTAATACAAAGCAAGTGAACACTGGTGGAAGAAGGACCCGTGTAGCTCTTTCACCAGCTCACATAAAAGAAGCTTACCAGCTCTCGTGTCTTCACCACCTCCGACGTTTTTTTCTACTGTGCAGGTTTTGCGTGGGTGATCGCTTCTACCTGTTAGAAAACAGGATCTTGTGCGAGTACGATTACGAGGAGCGGCTGTCCTTCCAGAACGTGCCGTTCCCTGGCCACAACCCCAGCAACCAACAGCAGCAGCAACAGCAGCAACAAAACGCCAGCAATGCGTCAACGCCCGGTGCAGGTGGTGGTGGAGGCAACGGTAGCATCAGCAACCACCAGTCGAGCAACGCGGGTAGCAATAGCAACAGCGGCCCAGCTACAGGCGCGACGTCGACGAATAACGCCGGTGGTCACCCGCCCATCGGTACACCTCCCGGCAGCGCCGGTGCTCCCACTGCCAACAACGGCAACAGCAATAGCCTCCAGCGGCTCAAGCGGCACACGTTAGATAGCCTTCCGGTGCAGGACGACGCGTCCAGTGGATACGGTAGCCCCGACTCCATGATGAGTGACGGCAAGTGACCCAGGGACAAAGGCGGCCGCGGTCGGCACCACGCCGGGCCCGCCGCCCTCGCCTGCAAGCAAGACTTGAGCTAATGCGCCTTCCTGGCCTGGACTTTATGCAGAGGCCACGCGTGCGCCTGCTTGCCTCTTGTGTCACCGTAGATAGTAGGTCCGGGCGAAGTGCGGTTTCATGGTGCGCGAATAGACGTTGGGACAATGAAGCGCCAGGCTGACCATCTGGTTGACTCGAACAAAACCGTCGTTCCATTCTGACAAGCAAGTATGCGAAGATCTGTGCGGCAACCGAAGCAAAAAAGAAAACGGTGTCATTGCCAGAGGGCCGAAAAGAATGTATTACTGTGTGACATTGGGTCGAACGCGTGAACTAACTCATGACAGGGCTGAAGTGTGCGTGAGTGTGAGCGCTTGTGTATAGGCTAATCGACTAGGAGTTACGTGGGGTGCGCGTGTGGAACGCGTGTGACGTACACTTTCCCGTGCGAGAGAGTTCCTGCTGTTTTCTGTCGTAATCTCGGCAAGGGTCCACCCAGCAACAGCGATACTGGTGCCGGACCAAAACCGTCTCAGCGACATCGGGGCGTCATCATCGCGTTTCCTCAACTTAAGCTTGCCAGAAGTGCGGGCGAAACCAAGTCAAGGACTGGTGGAATCCGACTGAATAGAGAATTAGTGCTTCTTCTCCACCGTGGGACGTGAGGTCGGCTACTACTCCTCCAACGTGAATGGTCAGTCCCTTGCCGACTTTGCTTTACGTATTTGTTACGCATTAGGCCTTGTCTTGATCTATGTTCGGGCGACCTAGGTCCTGCATTTACTAACATGAACAGACATCAGAAAGGCGTGAGCTCGTCTTCCGTGGTAACAAGTTATTAGCTTGTGAAATAAATAAATAAATAAATAAATAAATAAATAAATAAATAAATAAATAAATGCTATAAACAATTTCCATGGAGGCCTCTGAAACATGCATATTTATAGTGTGCATGCTACGTGCCTGGTTGCTGAGGACAGGTGTAAGTATACCGGAAACGCCATAAGGTCAACTGCTGAGCCCCGTCAGCAAATAGTTTGAATGGCATTAAAATGAAATCAACAGAGTTACAATTAGGCAATTACTCTTTTGAGTCTTTTGAAAAAAAGTGGCTGTTGTGGTAACAACGAATGACGAGCTACTTCCCAGGTAAATTTCAAGAAATGAGCGACCTACGAGAACGAAATGAAAGAAAAGCGCACTTCAAAAAGCACAGCTGCAAAATATGCACAATGACATGTAGATAGATAGATAGATAGATAGATAGATAGATAGATAGATAGATAGATAGATAGATAGATAGATAGATAGATAGATAGATACTAGATGCTGTGGGCATTGCAATGAAGAAATAAAGCCTGAAAAAGTAAATGAGCTCTGGAAGAGGGGCGTGGTATATATGGAAATAAAATATCCTGTGGAGAGGAGGAGGTGGTGGCGGCGATTGTGAGAAAGAGCTCGTGCGCTCGCGGTCGTGCAAATCCCAAGGCAACCGATCCTTCCATTTGCGCCCTGGCGCGCGCGCTCTGAGAACGCTTCTCGGTGCGCCCGTCCATTAGCCGGCCGTTCCATGCGCGCTACTCTACTCTCCCTTATTTACCTAAGTGGCACGACGCTGCGCACTCGGGAACATCCAGGAGTAAGAAGATCAAGTAATGGGGGGGGGAGGGGGGACGAGAAAAAATATAAAGGGAAAAAGAAACAGCAGACGGCATCTAAAGCAATGCACGCCCGATTTCTTTTACTCTCGTCTCTCTGCTGAGCGCGCGTCCCATTCGTTTCACGTGTTTTTGCGGGTGGCGTTCTCAGCTGGATCGTATGGGGCGGCAAGTATAGTGCGTGTCCGCTGCTGCGTCTCTCCGCTGCCCGCGCTATATTGCTGGTGCGCGCACAGAGATGGGAGAGAGGGCGGGCTTCGCTCTGGAACAAACAACTCGACGATGGTTTTTAGTGGACTTAAAAGGCTTTTTAGCCTCTCCCCGCGGGTACCTCGCCGGAAGAGCCACCGTGCCCTCCATTAAGGCTCGCGCGCGCTCTGGGCGCCGGCCGGCGCAACAGAGCGCCGCCGCATTAAGTGCTCCGAAAAGGAAAGGCACCTCTTTTCGCAGCGCCTGCCTTCTCTGTCTCACTCAGTCTTGCTTTTTTTCGCTGCTTGCTCGATAAAAAGGTCCCCCCATGGCTGCCTTTTCTCTCCCACTGTGTGCACGCGTTCGTGTGCCTTGCCAGTCCTTCTCTGGTTCCTACCCCGTTTATTTTTTTCCTTCCCTTTCCCGAATGCTCCTTACATCGCGATGTGGTGGTGGAGGAGGGTCACACTTACTTCTCCTTCACTTAATCTTACCTCTTGCTCCTTTTCAAGATCCCATTTCCCTCGGAAGAGTTCGTATCGGGAACACATATACGCCCTTCTTGGCATTTGCGTTTTCCTTTCTTTCCCGCGTTTCCTTCTTTTGCGTCATTACCAGTTTGCCTGTCGACGACTAATCCTCCGATGGAACTGTCGTGGCACATCGGTGGCTCCGACGGTCACTTAAAAACGAGTCGCGCGAAAACCACTGGAGTGTGAGGAGAGGTGGGGGGTTGAATTCGCACGTATGTGGCACAACGTATACCTGCGGCGTTGTATAGCACTCGCCGAAGAAAAGGCGTGGTGGCACTCAGAAGCGCGTGAATGAGAGAGATCGGAAATGGATTCGGAAAGCGCGCGCACCGAAAAGTGGCGCCGCGAAGCTAAGAGCCACGTGTTCGGTCGGTGCATTAGTCCCTTTCGGAGGGCTTTCTCGGCCACACTTTTTTTTTTTGCTCGCGCGATGGCGGTTTTCGCGTAAGTGACGGAAGCTGTCAGCAGTTTCTGTTGCGATGGCCTTTAGATCGCGTGAGAAGGAAACGAGAGTGAACTGTGGAAGGAAGGGAAAAAAAGCAAAAAAGAAAGAAAAGAGGAGTGGTCATTCGTTACCATGCACATCGTTGAAGTGCATTGAGGGCTTCCTTTTCGGTACCGACAACTTTTAGAAGCTGTACTGTGGCGCTTGTAGTGAAGTGGAGTGAATGTTGGCAGCGTTTGTTGGCTCACTTCTTGTGTGGGCTTTTCATTGCACTCATGAGAGTGTATGTTGTTCCGAGAAAGAATAAATTTAAGCATCTAGTTTTCGATGTGACAATAGTAATCTTATCTATCTATCTATCTATCTATCTATCTATCTATCTATCTATCTATCTATCTATCTATCTATCTATCTATCTATCTATCTATCTATCTATCTATCTATCTATCTATCTATCTATCTATCTATCTATCTATATATCATCTATCTATCTATCTATCTATCTATCTATCTATCTATCTATCTATCTATCTATCTATCTATCTATCTATCTATCTATCTATCTATCTATCTATCTATCTATCTGTCTGCCTGTCTGTCTGTCTGTCTGTCTGTCTGTCTGTCTGTCTGTCTGTCTGTCTGTCTGTCTGTCTGTCTGTCTGTCTGTCTGTCTGTCTGTCTGTCTGTCTGTCATCTATTATTTGTGTTCAGAGTTTTAGACATTTGTAAATGCAGTATATCCAAGCATTAAAATTTGTTTGCTGAAGAATAAGTTATGCCATCAATGCCAATCTAAAATACAGCCAGCACGGAGTGTATAGGCGCGTCAAAAATTAGGCAAGACGGAGTGGTGTGTTATCATTAACGGCATAATAAACAACGCTAACCGAGGTACGACGGCGTGGAACAAAGCGACCTACTTCAGCAATATCAAACGTTACTCCAAAGCATGTGCGCGCTAGTGATCCGCGATTGGACTCGCTACCAGATGCTTCTGACGCCTTTTGTATAACGGTTGGTTATAGTTTGCGCTAGGATACGTGCGTATCTACTTAGTTTTCAGTACTATAGAACTCGCGTTCCAACTCTCCGCTCTTCCCAATTTATTTTTTTCTCTTTCGCGTTAGTCAAACAACGTGATCAAGAGATGCGAATGAAGTTCAACCTTGTCACGGAGCGCTGGATTAGAGGAGTTTATAGCTTTCAAACTTCAGAATGAACCAATCCGCAAACCAATAAACTTGAGCGGTGTAAGAAGTGTAGTACTCTAAAGTGGTATGTACACACTGTGGCTGTTTTATTTCACACGTGCTTCTTGGTTTCAAAACGACAAAAAAATTTGCGCCTAGGCTGTTGATGTTTTCTGCCTGCAGCAAAAAAATGAAATGCGCCCGCGCTTAAGTAGTGTTCCCCTATTTCGTTTAACATTGGAGTGGAACCGAGCCATCTGGTTTGTTTGCATCCGATAAGCCGAAACGCATAAATATGCTACGATGTAGCAGACGAAGTGGCCCCTTTTTATTAGCAAGCTAGCCAGGAAAACAAATAAACGATCCGCGAGAGTGCTAGCAGTTGCCAGTCTGCACCATAAGCACTCGTCCCGACAACTGCGCGAAAAGGAGCCATTAATGCTAATCTAAAATTCAGCCAGCGCCGAGTGTAAGAAGCGTCCCAAATGGCGAGGCGCGCTCGGCCCGTGCGTTCGTTCTGCGAAACGTTCAACCGCTTTCACCGGAAAGAGATCCTCCACCGACGGCGATGTGTCAGGCTCCACCACCGGAGCCCGCGGCACGAAGTAAGTAGACAGTAACTGCAGCGGTGGCAATCGCGAAGCAGTAAAAGTAAATGTTAAAACGAGACGAAACCCATACTCCGCGCGCGTCACGTGCGTGCAGATATTCAACGGGGCATGCATATACGCCGACGTCCGTGGCTGAAGCAGCGTTTCGTAGTCCCCGATTACTCGGTTCCCATGCGTAGGAACGTTTTCGCGGTATAGTCGCAAGTGGAAAAAAGAACTAAATTCAAACAAAGAGGAAGAAAGGGGGGGGGGGGGGTTGAATTGAGCGAACGCTTCTTAACGAAGCGAAACGCGTGCCGACTACCAAAGCAGCTCGATGCCACATAAGGCGGACATCTGACGTGATTGGGAAAACTGAAAGCCGTACGCTGCAGACGGTATCGGCCATTGCAGATGAAGCAGCTCCCCCGTGGTTCTCTCACGAGGTCGTATGGGAATCGCCTTTTTTCGTCTATGCTGGCGCAGCCTCCTCTCCTATTGTTGTGTGCTCTATCGGGAACCCCTCCCCGCTAGCAGCTTGTCGCCGTTGGCTCCGTCGTCGGTGGCTGCACGCGAGAGGGTCTCAGAGTTCGCAATCAGAACTGACCATCGCGGACGGTGGCATGCTGCCGCACGTTTGTTGCCGCGGATGCGCGCGTGCATGCCAACGTTGTTCCTTCGAAGACGAGGCGCGTATCCTGATGCGTGAATACGCGGTCAGGCTTCGCGATGTGTAATAGCGATGAGCGTAAGTGGAAAGGTGCGGCGGCAAAAAAATGAGGGAGGGAGCTGGTTTGTTCGATGTTGTTTTGACTGAAGCTGATTGAAATCATAAAGCATCAGATTTTTTCAGTATAACCGTGGCCGAATGGATCGAATCACGAACGAATTTCAAGAACAGGACAGTATCCACACGCACAGGCACAAGTCCTTGTGCTTGTGATGGCGTGAGAACAGATCGCCGCTAGTTAGGATGTTTGAAATACCGCTATACCGGAAGCAGCCAGATGGTGAAGAGCAAAGAATGCTTCATTGAAGAGAGAGAGGTTTGTAATTGAATTTGTCTAAACAACCGGCAGTTTGACTTGT